AATGTATTTGGTACAGGGTCTCACTACGCAGCTCAAATGATCCTCCTGTTTTCAGCCTCCCCAGTGCTGAGATTACAGGAGTGTGCCACCATGACCGGACTCGGTGGTGGCTCAGCATGTCCTGGGGCGGGGCTGGGGCGGCATACAGCACCAGGGATCGAGTCCAGGTCCCTGCACTTGCCTAAGCAGTCACTTAGTCGGCTGAGCTATCTCACTGGCCTAGAAGCCCATGCCATGCCACAAGAGGGAGCACATTTCCAAATATAAGACCATAAGGAGGCACTGTGCTAGTAAAGCTTTGACACACTGCTAGAAATTTTTTTTAAATCTATGATGAGAAGAAGATAGTATTTTTATACTCTATGAAAGAAAACCAGGCATAATGGTGCATGCCTGTAATTCCAGAACTCGGAGGCTGAGGCAGGAATGTTACCACAAGTTCAAGGTCAGCCTGTGCTACATAGCCAGCTCCAGTCTCAAAAACAACCCCCAAAACAAAAAACCAATGAACAAGCAAAAAGAAAGAAAGAAAAATACCGGAACGATGCTTGTTTTCTCTGAGGCCTACCACATACCTTTCCTGTGGCCGTTGAGCCAGTGAAGGAGATTTTAGACACCAGCGGGTCCGTGCAGAGCACCTCTCCCACCTCGTTGGCCTTGGCTCTGGAGCAGGGCACGACGTTGTACACACCAGAAGGGATGCCTGCCTGGTTCGCGAGCTGCAAAAGGAAAGAGTCAGCATGGCAGCAGGTTATTAGGAGACAGGCAGAACCCTGAGGGGAAAAGAGATGCGATTTACATATCAATGGAGAGGCCGGGGAGATAGCTCAGTAGAATAAGCGCTTCCCTGGCAAGCTCAAGGGCCTGAGTTCAATCCCTGGTTCCGCAAAAAATAAATAAGTAAATAAATAATAAATAAATAAGTATCAGTGGAAAGAAAACAAAGCTGACCTTGGGCTCCGAATCTTTCCAATGTGTGGTATCCATGCTGCTGAAGCAAGCGTGTATGTGGATGGAAAACACTTGCGGGCTGGGGTCACTCGGAGATGGAACCGGAGCTTGGCATGAAAGAGGCCCTGGGTTCAATCCCCATCACAGGCATATATCGATATTTATACATAATATGTAATTATCCATTTATATCTTATAGGAATTTGAATGTGAAATATAATTTTTAGTGCTAAAGTAGGATTTTATTTATTTATTTATTTTGGGCTGCTCAGGATGCTTTCAGGGTAGGTTTGGTTTGGCTTGAAGATGAGGGGATCGAACCACAGCATCCTGAGCCTGACTGCTTTGTTTCAGCAGGCACTTAAACATCTGAGCTAAAGGGCGGGCCCCCTAGTGCTGAAGTAGTATTAACATTAATGTGTGTTATACATCATTAAAATAAATTTCAGGTGTATAAATTTTGCTGTCATCTGCTATTTAAACAACATTAGGGCCAGCAAGATAGCTCAGTGGACTAAGTGCCTGCTTAGGCAAGTGCAGGGAATAGGGTTTGATCCCCTGCACCACATGCCGTACCACCCCTCCCCTGGGTGCACTAAACTGGCCACTGAGTATGGGTGTGGCGGAGCACGCCTGTAATCCTAACACTGGGAAGGCTGAAAACAGGAGGATCACTGCAAGTCTGAGCTGCATAGTAAGACCCTGTACCAAATACATAATCAGGGCTGGGGAGATGGCTCTGTGGAATAAGCGCTTCCCTGGCAAGCGCAAGGGCCTGAGTTCAATCCCCGGTTCCGCAAAAAAAAAAAAAACAAAAACAAAACAACAACAACAACAACAAAAAAAAACAAAAACAAATACATAATCAAATTAAAGAAACAGCATGAAATTTCATTCCCAAGAATATGCAGAGGGGCATTCAAGAAAACGAGTGGTGATTCTCCAGCCAGAGGATGGAAAGCTGCTTAGTGTGAAGCTATTGGTGCAGGGTCCGGACAAAGTGCCTCTGAGCAGTTCCTAGGGTGTAGATTAGGAAAAGTCTCATTTTTTTGTTTGTTCGTTTGTTCTTTCTATCTCTATCTATCTATCTATCTATCTATCTATCTATTTATCTATCTATCTATCCATTTATGTGTGTGTGTGTTCTTTTGCTTTGTTTTTAGACAGGGTCTCACTATATTGTCCAGGCTGGCCTTGAACTCAAGGCAATCCTCCTGCCTTAGCCTCCAGAGTGCCATGCCCAGCCAGAGATGAGGTAAAGGAGGCAGAGAGAAGAGCTTAGCCAAGATCCCTGGGGCAGTGCGGAGGCAGCTGCCACCTAGGGTGGCCTGCGGAGGAACTGGACTGTCTCTGTGACATGTCCTGAATTATTTGAATTTCTGAATCCCATGAACATAACTTAGTACGTAACTCTGACTGGGCTTCTGGGAAGATGGTGGTAGAATCAGAGCTTCCGAATTTCCCTAAATCTCATGAAGACAGCAACTGGGTAGCAAGATCAAAATATCTGTAGCGTTGATAGCAAGACAGTTAAAGGAAATACTTATGACACAAGGTGCTCCACAGCCACCAGTGCACGGGGAGCACCTGATGCCTCTTGACACCTGTGTGAGAGGGCAGAGGGCAGCCACAGCCATGGGTCTCAAGGAACCACACACAGAGCCAGGTGGCCTGCTCTGGGACCAACAGCTGTGAGCAGGAGAGGGAAGCTCAGATAAGACTGGAAGAAGAGAACAGAGCCAGGGCATTGTTTTCAGTATTGGGGTTCAGCCCAGGATTATTGCACTGGGCTACATTCTCAGCCCTTTTTATTTTTTTGAGACAGGCTCTCTCTGAGTAGCCCAGCCTGCCCTCAGTCATATGATCCTCTTGCTTCAGCCTCCCAAGAAACTGAGATTCCCGACATGCCTGCCACAGCTGCTCCAACTGGCCCTTTGTGAAGTCACAGTTCCTAAGTGAGTTCTGCTTGAAAGAATCAATACGCCAGTCTGTCACTGCCTAAGACCTAACTCCTTCACTGGTACCAAGGGAAACTGAGTGTATATGGGAGAAATCCTTGTGTCACTTCTGTAAGTTTCCTATAAAACACACAGATAGGAAGCAGCAAGTCATGGGTATGTGTGGGACAATGCTCAAGGCTGTGGGGGACCCACAGAGTGGGGCCAGAGTGGCCCAAGATGATAAGCTCTGTGTGACAGACAAGGTCAGAAGGCACCAGCGGTTGGGAGGGCCATCACTGTAGTACCAGAAATTGAATCTGGGGGTATTCACACTGACCCTCATTCTTAGGCACTTTACAACTTTTTAATTTTAAGGCAGGGTCTCCCAAAGTTGCCCAGGCTTGGCTAGAACTTGTGATTTCTCCTGCCTCAGCCTCTCAGAGTGCTGCTGAATTACACTAACGCACTACCACATGTGGCTTGAAGGCCACTGTAGGAAGCCTGGGTCTTACCACACCACAGAGAAGCTGTTGGAGGGTTTTATGCAGAATACAATTTGCCTGGATGCAGATCCAACTAGAACAAGTGTAGTGAGAGACACCTACATCTTAGTGCCTATTTAGTGGGGATGAAGGATAGCTATCATTTTTAGAGTGGACTAAAAAATATGCAGCCTACAGGTATCTGAGAGTCTTCCATCTACTTTTTTTTTTCCCTAAAAAGAGCAAATTCTGACTTAAAATAACTCTCAGCAGATGAAAACACACCATGTAACAGCAGAGAAGGAAAGAGAAAGGCAAAGGACACTGCAAAACTGCTTCATCCCATCCCTGAGGAGATGGGATGAAGTGTCCTAGGGAGAGGCTCACCTGGGCCAGGGCCAGGGCAGAGAAGGGCGTGTCCTCGGCGGGTTTCACCACCACAGTGCACCCAGCTGCCAGTGCAGCCCCCACCTTCCGAGTGATCATGGCGCTGGGAAAATTCCACTGGGATCAAAGAGCAGAGGACGAGATGTGAGAGGAAGGACCTCGCTGCTCCACAGGCAGCCAGTCAACCCATTGCACAACAGCTTGGGAAACCTGCTCTCCAGCTGCGGGGTGAACTCCCACGGCACCTACCTAACCCTTGCTGACCCGAGGGACTCAGGAGACAAAGGCGCCCATAAAGACAGGAAATGTGAGTTTGACGAAGGACAAAACTATATGGACCAGTATTTCCTGCAAAGGGCCAGTTCCTGTCACAATCAACTCAACTCTGGAGTAAAGATACTACGCACACGAGCACATGTGATGTCTCCCAACTAAGGCTTACAAAGACAGGTGGTAGCGTGGGTTTGGCCAGAGGCTGTTGGGAGAAAATACTAGCTATGCTGATTTTGAAAACGGTGAATGATTTGTTTTCTTCTCTATACAGATCTATAGCAAACTATTTTTTGACAAATACTTGTATAGTCCTTATTCTATATTACGTATTATTTCAAGCACTTTAATTAACTAAATCCTTATCATGACTTTTGAGGTTGGGGCTACTATTCCCTTTGGGGAAACTGAGGAAGAATGTGCCTGAGGCCAGGTGAGCCTTGGGTTAGAGCTAGTCGGTGTGGGCACTAGGAGGACTCTGCCATGCCTGTGCCCAGCAGGAGGAGGAAGCAGTTTTGGGCTAGCTGGCAGACACTGGGGAGAAGTCAATGGGGGAGCTGGCATAGGGCGCCCTCAAGGGGCTGCTCCTGAGAGAAAGCCGTTGCCTTCAGGGGTACCGCGGCCCCCCCTCAGGCAGACCCGGCCTCACATTTTTTCACCTTGTGCCCTCCAGAACCCGGCCATGGCCCCCCTGGTGGGTACACACATGGGCTGCTCTTGCTAACAACCATAAGGAAAACATAATTTTTTCCCAAACTATGTACATTTAAAAATATGCGCCATCATAATTCTTTTTCAAAATGGTACATTCCAGATGATCTTTCCAGAAGCGCTGGCAAATGCCAGAAGGCGGCTTTATGGCAGTGGTGGCAGACCTATAGCTCCTGTGCCACAGCGGGCGCGCAGAGCCCTCTCCATGGGCATGTGAGCCAGCTCACCCCAGCACAGCTCCAATGACATCTGGGAGCAGCACGTGGGCGCCATGCGCCTGCGCAGAAAGGAGCAGCAGGGCCAGGCGACACCACCACCCGGGGCTTGGGCTCTTGGGCTCTAAACATTTTGCCATCACTGCTTTATGGCAAATCAGAAAAGCCAGCTGGGTCCTCCTGGGGCCGCACCATTTCTGAAGGCACCAGCAGTGTGCACGCCGCTCATCACTACCAGCACTCCTAACTTCCTCCTAGAGGATGCGGAAACGCGCCTCCTCCACCTCTGCAAAGCAATCAGGAAGCCACGAGCAGATCACACAGGTCACAGGAGGGGCACACTGCTCCTAAGGAAGAGTGGGTGGTCTCTGGACTCCCTACGCGGTCTCCTACCCCGGGATCTTGCTGGTCCTGCACTTACCGGTGTGATGACTGCGGCCACACCCAGGGGCTGCTTGAGGACCAGGGCCCGCCTTTCCTTGGCAGGGGTGGAGATAATGTCTCCATAAATGCGGCGGGCCTCCTCTGAAAACCACTCCAGGAAGTTGGCCGAATAAAGGACTTCTCCTTGTGCCTCCTTTAGTGGCTTTCCCTAAATTAAATCAGAAACGGGCACATGGATTAACTTCCAGGAACCAAGGCCAGAGGATGCTTTTAAATTCCTCAAGGCTGCAAGAAGAGAAGTCTCCCCTTACAGAACTCACGTCACAGGGCTGCTGGAACATTTCCAACTTAGTTGGAGTTTCTAGAAAGCAGAATGACAGTGATGGAGAGGCATACAGTTGTGTCACCTGAGACACAGAGGCATTTGCATTCCCAATGGGTTTACAAGTTAGGGGGATACCTGGCACATCATCTTCTAGTTTTTTTCCCCCTCCTGCTAAGATCTCCAGTGTTGAAGCATGGCTTCAGATCATTTGTTGCAACTGGAGGAACTGTGGGCATACCTTGACATGTACAAAAGCAATATGCAAGATCAAAACGGTCACATAGAAGAAAACTGGGATGGTGAAAAGCAGTGTTCATACAGTTCCAAACAATCTATTTTTGCATACTAGTAAAGAGTAAATGAAGACACACAAAGGGCATTTAGCCAGTGTGACCACCTGGCACAACAATGACTTTGTATCTACTCATCAAGCTTGGATTCATACATTCTTCAGCTACACAACAATGAAAATTCTGGAACAATTTCTCAGGGTAGCAAGCAAAGTTCTGGAACTTACACTCTCGGCTGTAATAATTTTGGCAAGATCATCCTTATTTTGCATCATTAAATCATACCACTTCCGAAGTAAAGAACTCCTCTCCTAAAAGACACAAAACAAAAGCAGAGAATCAATGAAACATGAAGTCTAAGACAGACTACTCCATAACCTATGATTTCCTGAAGTGTTCTGTGGTCTCATTCTTCGATAATTTGAAGCGTCAAATTCATTGGGCCATAGAATGCTTAGGAAGCTGACAGAATTGGGGAGGGGGTGTCTGTGCGTGTTTTTTCCAGATCAGCACTTCAGTGTAAACAAATTACCCCCACCAAGGCAAGCAGCATCACTGAATGCGTTAAGGGCCTGAATGGAACAAGAAGGTGAAGGAAAGGTAAGATTGCTCCCTGCCCGAGCACCCCTTCTCCTGCCCTTGGGCAGCGTTCCTACTTCTCAGGCTTCACATGCTGGCTGGAACTTCTCCCCTGGGGTTCCTGGGTTCTCCAGCTTGCTGTTGGCAGGTGTGGGACTTCTTGGCCTCGGGAATTGCATAAGCCAGTCCCTCCGAATAAACCTCTTCCCTTACATCTCTGCATATCCTCTTCTTGGTCCTCCTGCCAGGATGACTGTGAATACACTTAATGCCACGGAACTGAGTGCTTATGGATGGATAAAATCATAAATGACATGTATATTTTACTACAGTTAAAAATTTTCCAAAGAATGAAAAATACCTAAAGGAATAATTTGGATTATTATGAACTTATGGAAGAAATAGCTTCTAAAATTTAAACATTTAGAAAAGAATTCCTTTTAGCTTGGCATGGTGGCACACGCCAGTCATCCCAGGACTCTAGGAGCCTGAGGCAGGAGGACGGCAAGTCTGAGCCCAGCCTGGGCAACTTAGTGACTTAAGTAAGATCCTGTCTCAAAATAAAAGGGGCATGTAGTTTAGTTAGAAGGCCCTGGGTGCAAAGTCTAGTCCTGCTAAATAAATAAATGTCATTTATATAAAACTCCACTTGGAGCTCTTGTTGTTGTGAGCATGACCATGCTGCCCAGCGCTGGGGGGGCAGGACTGTGGGTGACAGTATTAAAGCCACCAAGCGGAGGCAGAACTCTGCCACAGGGAATGGCTGCCTCTTCCTCCTCCTCCTCCTCCTTCTCAGCTGGAGGCGTCAGTGGAAGCTCCGTCTCTGGATCTGGAGTCAGTGTCTCGGACCTTGCCCCACCATGGAAAGCCCTCTTCATCTGCCCTACAGGAGCTGGGGAGATGCTTGAAGATGGCTGTGAAGGTTCCTCTATGAGTCCGTGTTCAGTGACCAGGTGGCAGCCACGCGTAGGCAGGTGAAGCACGATCAACAAGTTGCTCGGATGGAAAAACTAGCTGCTTTGGTAGAAGAGCTGGAGGCCGCTGAGTGGCGATTTATACCCATCGAGCAGCTGCTGGGGGTCACACCCTCTGCAAGATGATGTCACCCGATGGTCACTGCTGGGACACAGCCTATGCAGAGCTGACGAGGCAGCCGGAGATTCCCAGCTGCATTGCTGAACTGCTGATTTACCTCCATACTTGGACTCCGTATCTGTCCACAGGCAACAAATACTTAAATGTGTGATTTTGCAGGAAGTTTTTGTTTATTTTTAGGAAGTATTGGCAACATATTAAGATAGTTGGCTTTTCACAAAATTAGGTAATTTAGATTTAAAAGATATTTATTGGGCTGGGTATGTAACTCAGTAATAGAGTGCTTGCTGGGCATGCTTTAAAGCTCTGGGTTCAATCTCTAGCACCATTAAAAAAAAAATGTGTGTACATGTGTGTCTTTTGAGATAAGGTTCACTTTGTAGTTCAGGCTGGCCTTGAACTCACTGCGATTCTGCCTCAGCCTCCAGAGTGCTGGGATTACACACATGCAGCCAAAAAAAAAAAAAAAAAAAAAATTCACCTACATTTTTTACAAGTGAAGTAGGATACCTGGCCCCAGGACTGACTGGCTGATTGGGCTGTGTTCCGTTATTCTTCCAGTGCCTGGGAATTTTCACCAGTCAAGTCCAAGGTCAGGATCTACAGTTACACATTTCTGAACTAACATTTCTTTTTACACATGAACATGATTTCAACTCAGAACCTGTCCAAATGAAGAATTTTAAAATATTTATTTTGTTTCCCATTTTTAGATATCTAATTCTATAGATTCTTTTTTTTTTTTTTTTCCTAATCCTATAGATTCTTTTCCTAACCTCTTCAAGTTCTGCCAAATGCTGGCCAAAATCCCCTGCATTTTGAACACTGCATGTTGCAACAGCTATAAAGTAAGTGAGCAATAACAGCGAGCAAAATCCTTTTCACACAGAATTCCAAGGTTCAGTTCCTTGGTGGACTCTGCAATTCTGTAGCAAATAAATCCTTTCAAAGACCTCCAAGAAAACAAAAACAAAAACAAAAAAACAAATCAAAAACTCCACTTGGAAAACAGAGTCCAGGCTAACAAGGCAGCACAGAGCCCTGCTGAGGACGGATGCACCCGGGCAGCACACCTTCCTCGGTGAGGACATTTTACTACCCTTCCTCCTTCCAGGAACAGTGAGACAGAGTCAAACAGAGGAAGAAGCCCAGATGTCTGAGGAGATGCATCTGCATGAGGTACCACACAAAGTCCCCAGAGTCTGAGCAAGGAGAGAGGATATGAAACCCTTTGGGAAGCGTTATGATAAAAAGTGTTCTGTTGTGGGCAAAAGACACAGCATCCAAGCTAGGCATGTAACGGAGAGCAGCGGCTGGTTGTTGTGAGTGTGCAAGGCCCCACGTGCCAAGATCTGGTAGAACTGCATCTGCCTCACACAAGTGGAGGAGTCTAACCCCAGAGTTGCAGAAGGGGACCTCAGCTGGGGACAGGGTCACAAGATGTCCAGGATAAAATAAGCTCCTTAGGGTGGGTCTTGATCCCGTGCGACTAGTGTTATTGTGGACAGACGGGCAACAGCAGGACTAGGAAGAGAGGAAGAGCAGCCGCACTCTTGGCAGTAAGAGCTGGGAAATAAACCAGGGTGTTAATTCAGCATACAAGCCGCTTTGTCCTTGAGAAAATTCATGAAGCAGATGACACCGAGCAAGCAGAGATGGGCGTGGACCTGACCCTACACATCTTCCCTCAAAGCAATATGTTCCATAATAAAATCTCCTCCCACAATGGGGACACCACGTGGTTCACTTTGGGTCCCGCTGAAACTCACACCTGCACAGCTGCTAAACTCCACCTGTCGGAAACTCCTGTGATTTTCAAGAAAAATTATTGATGCCCCTTTGAGACCCTGTGAAAATGCAACACTCTCTGTCAGGGCCGTACGTCTGCAGCAGATGGAGCTTCACTGCTCCTTCCCTGGGGCTACCTGCAGGAGCAGGTGGTCTGCGAACAGACTTGGAGAAGTGAGGAAAACAGACAGGAGAAAGATTCTGGAGCCCTGCTGACATTTGCCATGTCACTGCCTGTGGCCCTGCCATCTCCCACCTGTGGAAGACCTTCAGGGAGCCAATGGCACCAGTCCCTTGGCACAGTGAGCCTCTCCTTTCAAGAAGGAAACTTCCCTGAGAAGATCCCTGGCCCTGGTATGCTGGAAACTGACCCTGTGCCAGCGTTCAAGGGCACAGACATCAGGATGGGAGCACAAGGTCACATCAGTGAGAGGGTCCCAGCACCAGCACTGGGGCCATCATCCCATCAGTGACAAGAGTGGGAAGCCCTCTGTGTCCCTACACTATGAAGCCATTGTGGGGTAGCCTCGATCCTTGTGGGCCCTTGAGACTGGGAAATGACACCAGACACCCAAGGTGAGGCCTGACCTCTCCTTCCCAGGGCTCTTCACCCTGCTCAGAGCAGTGAGGACACATGTGGCACACATGTGCATGACTTCTTAACCCCAAACATCAGCTCACATAGCCCACCACTGCCTTCACATTGTCACACTTCACATGTGTGTGTTTAAGACAACTCTGAGGCCACTGCTGACTGATGTCACCTAGTGTGGCTCCACCCCCAGTTCTCCCTATCTCAGTGTCATCCTTTCAGCTACTCAGGCCAGAAGTCCTGGGTTGTCACTGTCTCAGTTTCACACTCCACAGTAATCCCCCTGGACATACAGCTGGTTCTACCTGCAAACATATTCTTTATGGATCTCCTGGTCATACTCCACTGTACCATGTCTTTTAAGGCACAAGTCCCACCTATGTCCCAGCACCCTCCTGTCTATGGCTCAATGCAGCTTCTCCGCCAGGGCTCCTGGGTTTGAGGCCTGGTCCCCAATGTGGCCCTGTGAGAAGAGAGAACCCAGAGTGGGGTTCTTAGGTCATGAAGGGTGCCCATGGAAGGGATTAAGTCATTCTCTTGGGATCCTGAGTTAGTTCTTGAGTGAATGAGCTCTTGTGAGAGTGAGCTGCTATCTGGCTTCCTGTCTTGAGGTGTGATCTCTTGCTCCTGCTCCTGCTCCACCATGATGCCCTCTGCCGTTAGGCCCTCACCAGAGGCCTGGTTGTGGATGATGGCCCATATACTCATAGCAATGTAGCCCGCACTGCTATGACTTCCTTCCTCTCTCCCTTTTCTCTGTCCACTTGAGCCACACTGGCCTGCCTGTGGTTCCGTAAACACAACAGCCACACTCCTGACTTCCACTTGAGCTGAATCCCCTCATCTCCTTGTCTTTGGCTCTCACGTCCTCAGCAAGGCCCATCTTGATGGTTTGGCTAAAAAGCAGCCCCTCCCAGATTGACATACTGAAGTCCTAACTCCCACCCCAAGTATATTTGAGGTAATGAGAGTATATTTGGGAATGAAGCCTATAAAAGAGCCAAACTAAGAAGACATCAGACGGGCCTCAATCCAGTGTGACTGGCACCCTTATGAAAAGAGGAGGTTGAGACACAGGTGCACAGAGATGACCACTAGGCATAAGCCAGCGACAGGCCTCAGGCAAACCAACTCCACCACACCCTGACCTCAGACTTCCACCTTCTGCAGTTTGGGAAAAGACTTCTGTATTTTGTGGCTGTGTCTGCGGCTTTGTTGGGAGATCTATATCCAACCACACTCTTTAGGAAGCACCTCGACCTCACCTCTGTCCTGACCCCCTTTCCCTGCCTTTCCCTCCCGTCCCTCAGCGTTCACCACCTCTTGCATGTCTGTCTGCCTAGGCATTATGCTTGCCTTTATAATCTGGGTCTCCCCTCTGCCCTGTTCCACCCACATGGGATCCTTAGGGACAGAATCCTGAGCACCCAAACAGTGTACCGGGTGCAGCAGGTGCACGGCACACGTCTGCGGGTGGATGACGGGCAGGACTTTGGTACTTGTACTAGATCACGGGTACACAGCTCCAGAAAACAGCTTTGAAGGCTGAGGAGGCCACGGTTTCACTGGGTCGGTCCAGGTCGCTTCTTGGTTCTCCCCTCTGCAGGGCTCACACCCATTTCTTCCCTTTTCCCAGTCAGTACAGGGCAGCATGGATCTCTACAAGTTGAAACCCAGGAGATGGCCTGGGCCTGTCCCTCCCACTGACAAAGCGCACACCTGCTCGCCGCAAGATCTCACACGACCCCCAGCCACCTGCACAGTCACACTAGTGCCGGACAAGCCGGACAAGCCGTGCGGCAATCTGTTCTCCTTGAAACACGTGCCCCGCTCGGGCCCGCACACTTGAGGCCCGCGGGGCGGTCAGCAGCGTCCGCCGAGGCTACAAACTCGTCCTCACCCGCTCCGCCCGACTGCGCGCTCACCTTGGCCGAGACCCCCCGCCAGCCGCAGAAGGCCTCGTGGGCGGCGCGCACGGCGGCGCGGGCCTCGGGTGCCCCGCAGTCTGCCACCGAGCCGAGCGCGGCGCCGCTGGCTGGGTCCTGCACCGGGAAGGTGGCGGCGGCGGGCAGCCAGCGGCCGCCCACGAAGCTGTCGGTGCGCAGCAGCGCGGGGGAGAGGCCCGCGGGGCCGCCGGCCAAGCAGCGAGCAGGGGCCGGGCCGGGGCGAGCGCGGAGGAGGCGCGCGGGCCCGCAGCTCCGCAGCCGTAAGCAGGTCCCCATGGCCCAGCGGCGGTGACGGCGGCGGCGACAGCGACAGCCCCTGGAAGCCGGAGGCAGGAAGCGCGCGCGCACGGAGCGCGGGGTGGCGAGGACGCGCAGGGCAGCGGGAGGGCCCGGGACACCCGACAGCGCCCCCTGCCTGCGGCTCGGAGCCCTGGACTTCGATCTGGCGCCGCCTCCCGGAGGGCGGGGTCGCGGCCACAACCTCCTACAGTGGAAGACCCGCGGCGCTTGCAGGCGGCGCTTGCTGGCTGCGCGAGACGGACGCTTGGGACCGTCGCCTTTGCCAATCTCAGGCACTCATTCCTCTGCACTAGTTGGGCCCCCTGCCATGGGAGCCCCCACCCCCATCGTCCAGGTGCGGGTTCCCTACCACGGAATTAAGCTTAAACCATAGTTGCGCTGGTGTCAAGGTCACGGTCACCTGTCGTGACCTCCTGCGCTCCGGATCCGGGTTTATGGTTCCCTGGGGGCGACGTGGGGTTCGGTGCTCTGCTTCGTGGATGTCTTTCGGGGTGTGGCTCTAGGGGTCGCCTCCATAAACTGTCCCACCTTTAGAGACAGAGTCTGTCTGGTCCAAACTCAGTCGCTTGCCAGCGAGGCCGGCAAGTTACTTACACGGTGTGGTAAACAAACACACAGTGAATGTTTACATTTGAAAAATCCATTACACTACAAGACACATTGCCCTTAATTGCCCTTAATCCCTTTAAAAACCGCCCCCTTTTCTCCAAATGCGCTTATCCCATCCGTCCTGGCACTTTCTGAAGCAGAGGAAGTGGTCTTTGCGAATGTTTTTAGTGGTGCTTTCTTGGCCGCCTAGATGTTCTGGGTGGATTAAAAACATTTACCTGTCATGGTCATTTTGACTTTGGGGAAGAACCAGAATTTGCACAGTGCCATCTCTGTTGAATAAGTGCGTGAGGACACACTGTCATGCTTTTACAAGCCTGCCTTTCTGCTGGTTGGTTCGTAGCAGTAACATTCACCGAGCTTTTAAAAAAATCACTCCTGGAAAACACACTTTTTAAAATAAAATTTCACCTGTGAAGAGGACTTGTAGAACTTCTTTAAAATTTCCCAAGAAGATCCGGAGCAGTGTCTCTGTAGCACGGAGAGTATCTAGGGGAGATTAATGGCACTGTC